TTATTATTATTATTATTATTATTATTATTATTATTATTATTATTATTTTCCCCAGCCTCCTTCATTTGGGGGAGAGTCAACCCGTGGGAAATAACACTTTATCCTTTTCTTCTCCCGCCTTGTCATCCGTTTGGCGGCACTAATCCGCTTAAACCCAAAGAACAAAGAACAGTTTCATCCACCCTCGGAGCACCTTCAGGTGTTTGAACGCTGCCCAAGGACCGCCTTTTTTTTTCCTTTTTTCCCTTTCCTCCTCCCAAGAGAAGCACAACAAGCTCGGCATGAGATTTTTAAGAACTCAGTCACCTGATCCCTTTGCGCCACCCACGCCCCACAGATGTGGGGCGAAGAGCATTAAACACACACACACACACACACACACACACACACACACACACAATTGTGCCCCCTCTTTCCTTGTGACGCCCGATCTCCCGTTTTCCCGATCTTCCACTTGGCAGGTTTATTAATCCGAACACTGGAAAGGGGAGGAGGGACTCACCAGCTGCATGTGTTTTAGTAATTTCTGGCTATTTACACTGGAGGGTACATGACTCCGATAATCACTGTAATTAACCCAATTGCAAAATCTGCACTCCAGCACGGTGGAGGATGCACAAGGGAGCATGACAATTTGGCTGTGGGTGGGGGGGGAAGAGGGAGGGCATTTTAGGGAGACCCCTTTCTTCCCATGGTAAGGACCTCTTCTGCCTGCTTGAGGGTTTAATTGTTCTTGGGGACGTGATCAGAATACTAATAAGGAGAGGAGGGTGTTCGGGTCAAACCGAGCATGGAGAGAGGAGATCAAATCGCAGAATAAAACTAAAGAGGGTCGAAGATCCACCGCGGCACAAAACCTCTGACTTTTGCTGCCTCCTTTGTTAGGCTGACCATTGTGCCATCCCCTGCGGCCACGTGGTCAACAGTCAGGCGCTTGGCCACTGCTTCATGTTTGTGACAGTGGCAGCATCCCGGAGTCAGGGGTTTTTCGTTTTGTTTTTTGCGACTTTCCAACAAACAAGCCAGATTCACTAAACAACCCTGTCCCTAACTAAACGACCAGGAGTCACTTAGCAATGGGGGGGGGGGGGCAAGGAAAGGCCATCAAATAGGGAAAAAACTCACTTAACAATGGTCTGGCTTAGCAACGGAACATTTGGGCTCAGTTGTGATCGTAAGGCGAGGACTACGGTGCTATCTGTTGTAGCACTGTTGTCGGCGTCCCAACTAACCAACTCCAAACCAATAAACTCCGAGACAGGCATTTTCTCAAAGTTCCATTTTATTAAGAGTTGTCCTAATAAATCTGAATCTGAGAGTTCCGGGTTTTCCCTTCCCCAAAAGAAATATCCAAGATCCATCCCCCCCTGCGCCCATCAGTCCATCACATGGCCCAACCAGATCTTCATCCCCGTTGGAGACATCCCTCCAGTCACTCTCCTCCAGGTGCAGAGCAACACGTCCTTGACTCTCTGAGAAAGAATGTTGTTGTCTCTAATCTTCTACTCGGTGGGATTCAACCAGTTCGCACCAATTCAGGACAACTGGTTGTTAACTTTCAGAGCAGTTTGGTGAACTGGTTGTTGGGAGAAATAATTAGGACACAGAACTGATAGTTAAATTATTTGAATCCCCCCACTATGAAATCCCCCCTCCCATATTTCCAGGCACTGAATGTAGCAGCCTCGACGCTTCTAAGTAAAAAGTATGGCTTCCAAGGCTGATGACTGTGGCTGTTGACTCACTGCCTGTCAAGACCCTCAACTGCCTGTCTCAAAGACCCCCCAGCAAGCACACACACACACAGACTGATTTTCTAGATCAGGAAGGAAGTCGTGTACTTTGCTAAAATGTTTAAAATGCAAAGTGAAACCCAACTCATTTAGTGACGGTCCATCGTCACAACGGCCCTGAAAAAAAGTGACCTAGGGCCGTTCTTCACGCTTACAGGCTCCCCGTGGTCACAGGATCAAGATTGGCAACTGTTTCATATTTAGGATGGTTGCAATGTCCCCAGAGTCACCAGATCCGCTTTTGCGTCCTTCTGACAAGCAGAGTCCATGGGGACTCACTTAATGACCGGGTTCCTAACTTAACCCAAATGGCAGCAGTTCACTTAAGGACTGTGGCAAGAAAAGCTGTATCACAGGGCAAAACTCACTTAACAAACGTTTCACTTAGCAACATACATTTCGAGCTCCATTGTGGTCGTAACTGGAGAACATCCTGTAACAGCAACCCACCGCCACCGTGTCTACGAACTACCCCCAAACCATCCTCCTCCATACTGTAGGTTTGGTGATACTTCAGTTGCCTTCCAAGGCTTATAGCAAACCAACCAATTTTTCTTCGACTTTCTCTTTTTTTTTCTCTCCAGTTCGACAAGTACGCACCCAAACTTGAGAATCCTTACTTTCGACATTCCAACGTAAGTGCCTTTTATTCTTAATATCCTTAAAACGTGTTAGAGTTTGTTCTGTGCTTGATGTTTTCCTTACCTGTTTTCAATGCAGCTTCACCTGCGTGGGTTTTATTTAGGATTAAGAAAAGAACAATTTTAAAAAACGGTTATTTTCATTCTTGGAGAGTTTTTACAATTGTCTGTGTCAATAGTTTTTTATTAGTTTATAATATAGCATACACAGAAAAGAAGCATACAAAGAAAAGAAGAGAGTAAATCGTAGGGAAAATTGTTGTGGTTAGCTGGCAACAGGTGTGGACGGTTGAGGAGAGCGAGGACTCAGATGAGGGGCCAGGACCATCAGGGAGTGGACTGCTGCCTTCAGAGGTTGTGGGGGCTGGCAGCAGCGATGAGGAGGTTCCCGAGGAGCCTGTGCCAAGTGCGCGTGAGCACAGGATTGCTCGCTGGAAAGAGCAACTGCAACAGTACAGGCGACCCAGGAGTAAGGCTGCAAGATAATGGCCCCTCCTTCAAGAAGATAAAAGCCAGCTGTGAAACTAACCTTCTTTGCAGAAGGCAAAGACGTTTTGAAAGTACAGCCTCGTGGACATTCTAGTATCCTGAGTTTGTATTTGAAGATTCTTATTTTGCAAATTATTTCTTGTTTGTTATCTTTTGGCAAGTCTCGCACAGTTTGGCAAGGCTTGTGCTGATCACAGCTAATTATTTTGTAAAAGCATTACAAGGTTTCTGTTCTATTTGGATTGTGTTTGATTTGCCGGAAAAGGGCGTGGGTCAGAACAAAAATAGGGAAGGGGAAAGGAAAAGCGAGGGAAAGAAAAAGGGGAAATGAAAACAAAGGCATTGACTTCCAACTCCCTTTGGTGCAGTAGAATAAGGCATTAACATCCAACCTCAACTTTTTACTTTTACACAATAATATAAGCTAGCCATTTCTATGACAACAAATCTATCAAATCGGTAAAACCCAAAATCAAAGTTCCTTTTTTTTTTTGTTCACCTCAAGGACAAAGTCCTGAAGCATTTTTCAAGGAGAAATAAAAGTATCTGTATTTTTTTCCCCCCGCTTGATCAAAACAGCCATTGTACAACTTCTTTCCTTCTCTTGGACTTCTCAGTTCATTCTGCCTTTCCAGATAGATAGGTTCTGTTTCGTATCTAATCTGTGATGTGTTTCATTTTTTTTTCCCCTGGAGACGTTTTGTTCATCCAGATCCTCAATCACTCTCTCTCTCTCTTTCTAGCACTCCAAACTTCAAATTGGGACTTGTCCAGAAATCTCCCCCCCCCCCCAAAAAAAAAATAGCAAATCAGGAAAGGTTAATATCCTGTGACTTGGCATCTGATTTTCCATACAGAGTCCGGAAGGCAAGCTTATGACCATATCAATTGAATGGCTATCAAATTGTAATTCAGAGCCCTATATATTTGGGATTAAGTGACTTGCAAGCCAAAGGCAGGTTTATATAAAGCAGAAAGATAGTTGACCAAGGTGAGAACAATGTGTTAGAAAAATGCGGGGGGAATGGTACAGAATTTGCAGGATGCTTACCAAATTTGAGCCTCTATAGTAGAGTTTATTCATAAATAAAAGTGGACAAATGTCATTTTTTTTCATAAGTGATGTCCGTTCTGCATTTTTTTAAAGCAGCATTCCCTCTTGTGAGTTACTGAAAAGTTTTATGGATCCAAGAAGCTTTTTAGTTCTAACTGAAAGGCACAATGGTGCATTTCCCAACATTCCGAAGTTTTTTGAGATGAGAAGTCAAATGTTTTGGGAAGAAAACACTTAAGAAAGTCCAGTTCCTTTTGGGAAAAAAAATATTTGGGACAAATCTCAGTGTTATATCCCAGTTTATGGAAGCTGCTGATTTCCAGAACCTACTTTTGAGGAACCGGTTAGACTTCGAAAGTTTGAAAACCGATCATGCACAATTCATGCCGAAATTCCCCCTTGGCCTTGCCGTGACACACCGAAAGACAAGACAGCCCATAAAAGGAACAAGGGAGACCAACATAAATCTACATTTATGTCTACTTTCTGTTAAAATGAAATCGACTTAATGCAATTACACTCTTGAGTTGCGCATTTAATCATTGTTCCCTTCCACGACTTGGGGAAAAAAAGATAATAATCAGAATTTGATAACCAGTCTCAGATTACTGGTTCTTTGTGGTGAGCCCCTCTGCCCTAAGGATTTTAGACATGTTTTTGAAGAATTATCTATATTTTAAGGTTAATTAACTTGGTGAGTACAAGAGGGCCTTTCCATCTATCATTGCAAGCCTTCAGAAAGGCATTTTATCCCAAATGTTCATTTTTTATTTTTGGTGAGAAGTATATTTTCCTTCTGGTAATTGGTCTAATCTTCAATGATTATTATTTTTTGTTGTTGTTAATAATAATCATCATCATCATCATCATCATCATCATCATCTCAAGGACATTGGTTGGCCAAACAGGGCTGATTATTACAGCTCTGACATTATTTTTATTTATGTTACTTTACTTGGGATGGGCTTTGGTAGATGGCAACACCTGGACAAACCTTGGACGTTTCTGGAATTGGCTACAGATCATCCTTGTGTTGTGGCCTACCGGCGGCTAGCAGAGCTGGCAGCAGAGTCAGACAGCGAAGAGGTTGTGGTGGAACCCGGGCCAGTCCTGGAGGCTGAGGAAGGCTCGGATGAAGGCTCTGCGTCAGAGGCAGAAATGGGGCCAGGGCAGACTGGCAGTCATCAGCTGCCTTCGGAATTGGACAGCAGTGAGGCAGGGGAGCAGCTGGAGCCCGTTCCCAGCCTACACATGCACAGAGCTGCCAAAAGAAAAGAACAAATATGAACTAAGGGTCGATGTGGGAGTAAGGCCACAGGTAGACAGTGAATGACCCCTCCCGTAGGGATTAAAAGAGGAGGAAAAGGGGAGGGGGCTTTTGCAGGAAATAATTTGTTAGTTGCAGCGGTGTGAAGATCTGTCTGTGCGTCTCAGAGACTCTGTGCTGAGCCCTTCCTTGTCAGCACTGCGATTGGAAATATTTCCTTGGCATCTCTCCAGGCTAGATAAGGTCTGTGCTCCTAATTATCCCTTTGAACGACTGTTTGCCAGGCCTTTGGCTGAATGTGAATGCAAGAAATTCACCTTTGTTTAATAAAAGAGGTTTTGCCGGGACAAAGTGTCGGGTTAGTGCTTTTTGGGGAAGCCTAGGTCAGAACACCTTGGATGAGAGACTATCTCTGCAGGGAAGCCCATGGCTGTCGAGTAACCTTGGAGGGTGAAGAGAAAAAAAGACATCGCAAGGAAGGCAGCATCAAAACACATCAGTGTCACTGCCAATAAAACTGCACAATGTCATCTCCAACAGCTTATCTCAAGGATATTCCTTTTTTTTTTTTTTTACAACCGTATGAGAGAAGCTGACATAACAGAATTGCAGAATACCAAAGTGGGGAAGGGAACCTCGGAGGCCTTCTAGTCCAACCTCCTGCACAAGCGGGAGACCTTGGACCATTCTAGCTTGCAGAGAAAGATGGCCAGGCGTTCTCAAAAACAGACATCTTTTAACCCCGTGGGCATCAGGAAAGGGAAGTCTAGACAGAACCTCCTGCCTTCCTTGTTTTCTGTCAGTCGGTTTCTCGGCTGGCTGCACCAACAGCAGCACTGAAGGAAACCAAGATGTGGTTTAGGTAAAAGTTTGGGCTTCTTGGCTGGCCCCTGTGTGAATGAAGATTAAAGGGTTGGTCTGCAGGAGGCTTGTGAAGGCCAACCCCAAGGGAAAAGTGGCCGAGTGAAGTCATCTTGGCTTATGTCAAAAGAGCATCAATGGCGCAGAACTGCTGCTTCAGTAGAAATTGGGAAGAAGGGACAGAGGGGGAGAAAGGGAGGAGAGAGGGAATGAAGGAAGGAGGGAATGAAAGAAGGAGGGAGTGAAAAGGGAGGAAGGGGGGAGGTAGGGGGAGAAGGAAGGGTGAGGGAAGGGAGAGGGAGGGAGAAAAAAGGAAGAAAGGGAGAGGGAAGGAAGGAGGGAGGGAGCGAAAAGGAAGGAGGAAGGAGGAAAAGGAAGGGAGAGAAAAGGGAGGAGGGAGAGGAAGGAAGGAGATTGCATAACTCTATTCCTTCAGAGCTGGCTACCTGATCTTAAATCTGGCTATATTATGTTATCCTGACCTTGTTACTTTGTAAGTAAAAGGAAGGAGGGAGGAAGAAAAGGAAGGAAGGAGGGAGAGAAAAGGGAGGAGGGAGAGGAAGGAAGGAGATTGCATAACTCTGTTCCTTCAGAGCTGGCTACCTGATCTTAAATCTGGCTATATTATGTTATCCTGACCTTGTTACTTTGTCAGTAACTCAAGGCAACAAACATATATAATTCTCCTTCCTCCTCCTCCTCCTCCTCCTCCTCTTTTTCCCGAAACATCAATCCCGTGAGCTCCGTTGGGCTGAGAGAGAGAGAGGTTCTGGTCCACATTTAAAAGAAGAGCATCTTGTTGTAGATACTGTTTTATTTTTATTTGGACTCTTAAGGAGGTACGAGAAAAAAGGTCCCTTCGGAATCTTGCTTTTTTGATGCCAGCTTCATTACCACTTCCGGAAAAAATGAAAAGTTTCACCATCTGTGTAGCCCTGTTTTACGATCTAATGCACCTTCTCTCTTTTTTTCCCCCTCTCCTCAGTTCTTTCCAAGTTACCCCCCCAATGTGCCAGGGATGCCTTCCATGCTCCCCCACCCAGGCCCTTTCGGGTCCCTCCAGGGAGCTTTTCAACCCAAGGTAAATATGGACCGGGTTTCTTCTATCCAAGCTGCTTTTATTTTATTTTATTATTTATTTGGTTCTTTCTCCAAACAAATCGGGGCAGAGACTCAACTGGCGCGTTCAGAAATGGTTATTAATGGAGAAGAAAAAGAGGAAGAGGAGAAAAGGAAGAAGGAGGGAAGGAAGGACAGAGAAATGAGGAAAGGAGATGGGGGGAGGGAGGAAGAAAGGAATGAAAGAAAGGGAAGGGAAGGAAAAGAGAGGGGGGGGGAAAGGGAGGAGGAGGAGGAAGCAGGGAGTAGATTCTGAATGCATGTGGCCAGAGTCTTTAATGAGCCTGGGGCTTTGCAGGGCAAGAGGCCTCCGGCAGCTCTCAAGTCAGCCATCAAATTGATGGCTGCAGTGAAACCAACCAAAAACACAAGGCCATCTGTGAAACTGATCAGTTAACAGCAGCCTCTTTCCCATTAACCCTTCTCTCTCTCCCTCTCCCCCTCTTTGTTTCTCTCTCTCCTTCCTTCCTTCCTTTCTCTCTCTATGTCTCTCTCAATCTCTCTGTCTCTCAGTTTCTCTCTCTTTGTCTCTCTCTCTCAATATGTCTCTCTCTGTCTCTCTCTCTCTCTCTTTCTGTGTGTCTCTGTCTCTCAGTTTCTCTCTCTTTGTCTCTCTCTCTGTCTCTGTCTGTCTCTCTCTCTCTTTCTGTGTCTCTGTCTCAGTTTCTCTCTCTTTGTCTCTGTCTCTCTTTCTGTGTGTCTGTCTCTCTCTCAACCTCTCTCTCTCTCTCTCTCTTTCTGTGTGTGTGTGTGTGTGTGTGTGTCTCTGTCTCTCTTTCTCTCAACCTCTGTGTGTGTGTGTGTGTGTCTCTGTCTCTCTTTCTCTCAATCTCAATCTCTCTCTCTCTCTCTCTCTCTCTCTCTTTCTGTGTGTTTCTGTCTCTCGCTCAACCTGTCTCTCTCTCTCTCTTTCTGTGTGTCTCTGTCTCTCTGTCTCTCTTGCTTCCTCCCTCCCTCTCTCTCTTTAATAATTTTAAAACTTTTTAAAGGAACTTTTTCCTTTCCAAAGGAAAAAGAACTAATACAAACAAATGTAAGCAAGAAAAAAAAATCATAGCTTAAAAGCACAAGAAAGAAAATGTAACCACAGAAGAGATGGAAAAAACGTTAGGCTCCAAATGGATGGATGGAGATAGATGGATGGATGGATAGATAGATAGATGGATAGGTAGATGGATGGATGGATGGATGGATGGATGGATGGATGGATGGATGGATGGATAGAAGGATAGATGGATGGATGGATGGATAGATGGATGGATGGATAGATAGATAGATGGGTGGATAGATGGAT